TGGCTCGAGCCGAGCTGGCCTCGTCGGCATTGATGAGCCGACCAACGAGGGAGACCCATGCCAGCTCGTCAGAATACAATGTCCTTGGATATTTTTTTGAACTTATTTGTAGTTAGATTATGGATCACTTAGAATTCATTCTGCATACACTCCATTTTGTTCACTGGGTGCAACACACATTGACTTGCGCCACACTTCCCCCTTTCCCAAATCATATGGTTATTAAGGTATATAATGCATTTGAGAAAGTAATAACCAAGATGGAAAAGAGATGCATTACAAGAACTCATGCATAAGTGTCAAACTTAATATAGCCTCCATTTACTCTCTCCTCCAGACCAAAACGGTTATGAAGTTAGTAAAAAACAACTCAATCAGCTGGAAAACCACTTACATCATCCTCAAAGTTCTAGTAATAGCTTTCAAAGCCTACAAGTAGTTCCCAAATTCCCAAAATTTTATGTCTCGGTCTGAATTGCCTTGACTCAGAGTCAGAGCTGATTGTGAGTGATTAGAAGAGCTTCTTTGTAGGGTCTTGCTAATGCTTCTCTAAACTATCCTGAAAGATTAAGTTCTATATATTTAAATCCTTTATTTGTTATTGTAAGTAATCCTTTCCCTGTCTTTGCTGAATTGATGCAGTCTTTTCTGTCATTTCCTCATGCATCTGGGAACTTTTATGAATTGTGATAATTCCCGCTTTGGATTACTTCTTCTTGTGGTTCGTAACCGATCATGAATTTTAATATTTATAGAAAATTGAAACTGCAACAACTCCTCTGAGAAGATATGTGGATGCATAAAATGAGCCAAATGAGATGTATTATGCAGGAACATACAAATGGATAGAGGGAACATGCTTACCTCAATGTTACAGTAAATTGATTTCCCAGGAGTTGGCCAAGGACAAGTCCTTCCCTCACATAGCTGGAGAAAGGCAACTATTACATGAACATGCATTACAAACCAAATGGATGGGAATATAGATAACCCACAATTCTTGAGCCTTATCAGACATCACCTACCTTGATACCAATCAACCTATCATTAAGAGCAGTTAATTTACTTGCAAACTGCTTAAAAACAGTTACCTTGAAACACAACAAGAACTAATGGAGCACCATCCTGCAACAGAAGTATTAGTTTTAACAAATTCATTAAATATTTTAGCAACCATTTTGCTGGAGCTAGAATAACTGATATTCAGAGGATTGGACTAGAATATTTCAACGAAATTCGACCTATGGAACATGGGTCAAATCCCTGTTCCACACGCTGATTTGAAAACAATTAAAAGATGAGCTTCTATACCTTGGTTCAAAGATATGTTGTGTTAAACAGCTTTATCATCAGTCTAACATATGAGTGCCAACAAGAATAAACTCAAGCAAATATTTCTTCTAGATAAGCAAATACAATGTTTAGAGGCATAAGCAGCAAAGTTAGTGAGTATCAGTTACCCATTGAGGTGAGGGGCATAAAAGGCAGAATCAATATGGCACACACATCATGTACCAGGCATCAGGCATCATGTATGGATTATGATACTTGGAAATTAAGTGGACCAAGGAAAAGTAAATATCATCTGGTTAGTTCATTAAAGGAAGGGGCTTTCTGTGACAATAAGCTACACAAGGTTTTCTTCTCTACATAGACGATCACTCGAATCTCCATGAGCATAACACAAACACAACTATGCTATTCACAATATGTACTCTACTTAAATTTGGATGCTATTCACATATCTACTCCAGGTAAAGTTTACAGCTTCAACATTGGCAACTTCTCAAAATCCTTACACCTGGTTCCAAAAATCAAGATAAAACATGATAAAAGGGTTCAATGGCCATACCAAGCACAGAACTTAATGGAAGTTTGAACTAAAACTTAAACCCTAAACTAAATCCACAATTCATAAAACAATTCCCAAAATAACAAACAAACAATCAATTTCAAAAGCATTATAATACAGCTACAACTTCTTGGTTATTTAGAAAAAGCATATATTGAAAGAGCACAACATTAATATATAGGTGCAATGCAAATTTTAGCAGTAAAAACCTAAACTTTCCCAAATCCCTCAGTTCAATACCAACCCCCTTCCTAAATACAATCTAATTAGCCTTCTTCTAATCAAAATCCTTCCTTGATCCTCACCAAATCAATCAATCAATCACTTGTACTCGAAGCTGGGCACGGGCGGGGCATCAAAGCTCTCCAAAATCTTTGTCTCGCTTCCGCTACTCTTAGCCTCAGGCTCCTTGCTCTTCCCGAACCACCCTCCAAGCCACCCTCCCGAACTAGCCTCAGCCCCGTTGCTGCTCACCGACGTTGCCGGCTCCGAGCCCGGCTGACCTGGAGCACGGCCCATAGGAGGAAGCCCAGGCAAACCGGCCACGCTCGCCGGCTCTTCAATCACAATAGGCATCTGCTGCTGCTGGCTCATGAACTTATTAAGCATGATCCCAGCTCCTTCGATCAGAGCCAGGAGGACCCCACCAAAGGCAGCCGATCGAGCAGAGGCGCCGAGGCCCTGTCGCATCTGGAGGAAGCCACCGGTGGCAGCGCCGGCGATGATAGAATTCCAGGGGTCCTCCTTCTGGCGGACATAGACCATGGTGCAGTCGAAGGCGGAGAAGAGGCCACCCCAGACGGCGAAGCTACCCCCGACTCGCGGCGCGTTCATGCGCACGGCTTGCGAGCCGCCGATGAGCCGAGTGCCGGAGGGGGGGCGGTCGGGGCACGGTTCTCGAGAGGTTTCTGGAGTTCCCATGGTTTGTGTGATGGGCGAGAGGGTTTTTCGCTTCTTTGAGGTTTGGTCGAATTAAGAGGACTTTGTTTGTGTTTTGCTTCTTCTGGTTCTTCTGGGTTTTAGTTTGGGTGGTGTTTTAGTTCGGGTCGGGTTTTTTTGACTTGCAAATCACGTAGTCAATTGACTCATGAAAGTGCAACACTTTTTAGTTCGGGTAGGAATTTAGGCTTGGAAATTCTTGCGGCATTTTAGGGATTCAATGGGTATCAATTCAACATAATTATATGATTTTTTTTCACTTTTTCTCCCTAAATATTATCCCCAAAGTAATAAAATAAATTATTGCAACTATATCATCTCAGAGATTTTCTATTTAAATCCCACACCTCTCTTTGTTCACCCCAATACTAAAATCATTAAGCTGTAAGTTCTATTATTGTGTAAAAAGACAAAAAAGGTCATCCAACTTAATAATTAACCTCAGTACATCTATACACACACCCCACCACTCTTCATATTAATTAAGTTTAAAAAAAATACAAACTCCTCTACATCCTATTTAAATTGGATCAGGACAGAGGTAAAGTATAAATTGGATCAGATCAGGACAAACTCCTCTACTTGGAGAGAAGTAAAGTTGTTCTCTTTCTCTAAAAAGTATTACATTTTGGGTTTGGGGTTCCATTTGTTTGTGTTTTTTTTTTTGCTGGGAACAAAGAAAATTGTGGGGTTTAAATAGAAAATCTCTTTTATTTCTTATTTTTTCAGTTTGGGGTGTATTTAAGGGTAGTTTTGGAAGATAGTGGGGTTTTCTTAGAAATTGTGAAAATTTAAATTAAAAGATGGGTTGAACTAAGAGAAGTCTGGGGTTTAAATAGAAAATCTCATCATCTCATGTTACGTACGAATTGAGCAATGAAAAAGTGAAAGATCAATTATAGAGAAATAGGTGGCACAAGTGTTATATTTATATATTTTTTTTTGTTTCATTCTTTTGTTGTACTAATGCCTCGTTGCCCTTTTTTTTTTCCTTCTATGATGTGTCTCTGGAACCAGCAAAAGCTCACTCTCTAGACTTGCTCCACTTGAAGCAGTACTATGCTTCCATAGGTAAAGCGATTGTTTTGTTTCCAACTATTCTGTCATAAGGAAAATATGCAAGATTTATCTGGTCATAATTTGACCTTTTTCCTAGGTTTAATGATGGACTATAATGTGTTCAATTAGAAATCATTAGTTCATTTGGGGTTTTTAGCTGAGATTGTGGTGATTTTCATTTATTTTCTTTTTGTGGATTTTCAGTTATTGCAAGATGTTAACAGTGTACGAGAGAGTCAATAAGAGGCTTTGAGTATAAAGAGGTTCTTTGCAAGCTAGACAAGATTGAAAATGGTTTTTTTTTCTTTTTCCTGTTTTCTTTCAAAACTTTTTGTTCACTTATTTTCCCTGAATATTATGTTCAATGTATTTAAATTTTCCTCCAAAATGTTTTATTTGTGTTTCTTGATTTGAATGAAAGTTTGGTATTTCATCCTTTTTTTGGGTTTCTTTCATTTCATTCTATCTTCGTATTTTCCTTTTCGTTGTGAACTCTTTTATCACGATTCTTGCATATATCAAAACCAACAAAGCTGTGGTGATTGAATTATAATTTCCATGTATGACACATTTTGAATACCAATTCATGTCCTAAAGACAAAAAAAATTTGCTATTCAGTGGAATATTTGTTCTGAAATTTGTTTTACTCTGTGCTTTTTGCTCTTCCAATTATAATTTTTTTTAAACTTAATGATCTATTTATCAATGGCGTGTAAATAACGTAGTAGCATATTTAAATTATTCTTAAGGGGTGTTTTGAATCAAGTGCTTGGTTCTATTCTTCAAGAAGACATCTATCTTGGTAAATTAAATTGAGTTTGAGTTTATGGGGTTAAATATTTTGCCATATTTTTGTTGCACTGTTTATTTTCTTATTCTTAATGCATGAATGATTTGTTTTATGAGATATTTAGTCATTTACCCATTCTTAGCACTAATAATATAGATAAACCCTACACCATTTAATTTCTATAAACAAACCCAAAAAAAAACCCAAAAAATGATAGCTAACCATATTGGATTTAATTTTGATTAAATTACTTTGATGCCCTATTAAGTGTTTTTGGTTTTTTTATAAGGTTTTTGGGTTGGGTTTGTTTTAAGAAATCAATGGCAGTTTTTGTAATTTAAAAGAAGTTAAAAGCCTTTTTGTTATGTTGTAAATGGGTTTTAGGTGTGTTTCTAAAGTCCATTTCATGTAGGGTTTTTTTTTTATAATTTGTGCTCATATATTGGGTATAATAGTGAATCTCCCTTGTTTTATTTTCTTTTAAGTCTGAAACAAAGTTGCAGTACTTTTCTCTTGCTTAAATTTTGTGAACCCAGATTAAGAAATAGTGGTTAAGCATTATGTAGCCTTTTTCTTGGGTTTAACGATGGAGTAGAGTGTGTTCATTTGGTGTTTTTAGCTGAGATTGTGATGATTTTCATTTTGTGGATTTTCAGTTTTTGCAAGATATTAATAGTGTACGAGAGAGTCAAGAGGAGGCTCTGAGATCTTCAGTGACTTCCTTAGGGATATTTCTATTAGATTGTATCAAACTTGATACATCACTTTCGATCAAATTTTCTACTGTTCAAAAAATTAAAACAACACGAAAGGGATTTTGGTAAAGTATAAATGCTTAACCAAATGCATTTCACAGCCGTTGTCTGTTTTACAACTCTTTTTTTTTTTCTTCTTTTCTATTTAAACTAAGAGAAGTGTGGGGTTTAAATAGAAAATCTCTTCTTTTTCCCAATGTGTAGGAAACATGAGATGACATTGAATTTGTAGCATGCTCAACAAACGGCTATTTGTCTAATTAGTTTCTAATCTTCCCAAATATTCTGAATCCACTTTTACTAATATGGTTATATACTTTAGCATATGCATGGAGGAAGATTAGGCTTTCAACACGCATTAGGTATCAAGCTTTTTTATCACCAGAATAAACCCATTTACCTATACTGAAGCTTTGGGGTTTTATTTTAGTTTTTCTCATTTGTATGCAAAGGAAGTTTTTACTTCAACATGCTTTGGTTGTGCACTTCAGGAATACCAGTTGCATCAAAATTTGAGACATTATTCCTCATATTGGTATTTGTTTAGTACAATATTGCCACTGGAACTTGATTATGCACTTAATCATCACAAACATGAATTGCTATATCCAACTTTTCTGTTATGTTGCTTATTAAAGTTTGAGTCTTTTGATTTGATTTTGCAATGAATATTTAGTAATTGGTCAAGCTTCTTACAAGTTTGTTATCAATCAATTGCATACACTGAGGTTATAGTTTTGTGCATTAGATTTATAGAATACTTAGGGGTTGTTTGGTAACGTTTTCAAGGCCCCATTTTCATTTTATGTTTTCATTTTCTACCAAAACCGCCTTCGGTATGTCATTTTCATTTCATTGGAATTCATTTTCTGAAAACAAATTCAAACTTATGTACAAAAACTGAAAACACCAAATTATCGTTTTCATTTTCTACCCAGTGTATTGGTCTGACTGCTTTTTATTTTCTTCCTTTTTTTCTTTTTCATTTTTTTTTGTTGGTCTAATTTTTCTTTTCTTTTTTTCTTTTTTTCTTTCATTTTTTCATTTTTCATTTTTTTTGTTGCACATCTTTATTTTATTTTGTTACACCAGTGTATATTAATTTTATGATAAAACCATCATATATTATTCAATTTCATATTTTTCTTTAAATATTTATTTTAAACTAAAGATAATAGAATTTATTATCTAGGTTTTTCTAACATTATAATTTTTTTAATTATACATTATTATTCTCAAATTATACATTTTTCATTGTTTATAATAATTTTAGCCTTTATTTAATATTTTTTTTAGAACAAGAAATGAGAAAAAATATGCTTGAAAAATAATTCACATATTATTATTCTCAAATTATCCTACCATACACGTTTTCACTGTTTTTATTTTCTAAATATGTTTATCTTTTCCAATTAATCTACTAGATGCATTTTCGAATCCTGAAAATGCAAATTCGTTTTCTTGTTTTCATTAACAGAAAATATTCTTAGAAAACATTCTTTCAAAACGTTACCGAACGGGCCCTTAGTGTATTCAAATTGTGGTTCGTGTTGTTGATACATATCCACATGTATCAGATGTTTTAGATGTAATGAACAAAACTATAACTTATAGCCTATTATTTCTGCCTTTATTCTACTTCAATGACCTATAGATGTTTATAGGTTATTTATGCTTTTATAGCTTACTTCTCCATTAGATTAACTTAGCCTATAAATGGCAAAACATGTATCAGTTTTGACCATAGGAGTCAATAGATTATCTCGGCTTTTGTACAACAAAAAGCTCATGGTTTGATTATGTTATGGGTATTTGGTTTGATTCTATTGAAGTCTGGGTCTTTTGTTTCATTCTGTTATAGGTATTTAATAATTTCGAATTTAGTGAAAACCCCAAAAGAAACAAGCTCCTCTCAAACACACCCAAAATATTCTCAAAATGACGAAAAAACCCCTTATCTTTTGCATCAAAGACATGCAAGTCCTAGGTCTCTTTCCTCCACCAAAGACCAACATCAGCATGTGAAGTGACCAAGCCTACATGTGAAGATTTTGTCTTCAAGAGACCTGACCATGTGAAGACTTCGTCACTTTGTCTCTGTCCAACAATTATTACTGTGCAACAACAGTGCCAGGAATAATGTTTTGTTTCTTTGTACATATTTTTGAGTGCATTTTGTCTTAAAACGCATGTGAATTTGTTTGTTTATTATCAGTTGGCATGTGAAGTAAGTGTGAAAGTTCAGAGAGATAGAGAAATGGTATCAGATAGAGAGGCTCCTCTTCTCATCCTTAGCCAAACTTAGCCATCCTTAGCAAAAAATAGAAGTCTGTGAATATGATGTATATAGTTGTTAGCTCCGAACAAAGAAGTACAACACCAAAGAAGAAAAAATCTCAGTACTTTCTCCTTCAGCTCTCAATCAATAAAACTCTCTTTGTTCATATACTTACTCTTATTCTCTTATTATACTCTCTTACTTCGACCACTATTAATACCGCTGACCACCGTTAATACCTAGTCATAACAGTTCTAGCAATAAGAGCAATTAAGTAAGTCATTTTCTCT